CGGTTTCAACCTCGTTAAATTTCAATATAAAATATAGCCTATGTGTTACTCTGATGTATAGGCATTGTAATGTTTTACCAAAATCCGTTCAGCAGTTTTTGCGTGATAGAGTAACAAACATCCATACTTACAAACTTTCGCGTTTATAATATTATAATAAATCGGTATATTACATAATAATATACATAAAAAGAAAATCAAATTGAAAAGTTCTCTTTTTTAACTTGGTTGTAAACATCTGAAACATGACTATTAGGTTAGTAGGACAGTTGGGCATTACTTGTTAAACTCTTGAATAAAAGTGAAAAAAAAGAAAAAATATAAGATTACAAAATCTTATAGAATAACATTTTGGATTTCACTAAGAATGAAATTAAAGTCTGTTTAGAACAATTGTAATCGTAATATTTACGTACACACATACCTTGCTTAAAAATACTTAATATATATACAGATATACAGATGTCTGTATATATATACAGTATGTAATATTATATTATCTGTGATATACAGACATCTGTATATATATTGATTATGTAGTATACATATACACAATATACAGATACATAATATCCGTATATTGTGGGCCGTCTACTAATTGTGTACTATATATAGTACACAATTGACTACATAGTTATGTATGTCGTCAATTGTCGTTCTGTCATTATAAAATAAACAATACAAATAAAGCATTTCAAAACCCATATCGGTAATCAAGTATTGTTCCGCATACAGATGTATTGGAGAAGAAAGGCAATTACAAATTACATTTGCTAGATTCATATTGGTTACTAAGTAGATCTAATTTTTTGATTAAGTACACGCATACAAGGATACATTTTATCTATAATACATCTAATACTTATGCAACCTATCATTGCATAAAATGTAAAACATTAAGTACATAAGTAACTAATAAAGAATAAAATTTTGCCAAATAATCTTTCGTGCAGTAATAAACAAATAATATAATAACTTAATATACTAATGCTTTTTATAGTCCCAATTTCATTCTTAAATAGTTTCCAGTTAATTTTTGTTACCTCCTATTGCCTCTGCGATGTTTTTGTTTAATTAGAAAATATATACAGATTACAGAATATCACGGATTTATTCTGTAGTCCGTAACTAACTATACTATAAAGATTTAATATGCATTATGTGGTTAAATTGCACCTAATAGTTTCTATAAAAACATAATAAACTGAAAAAGTTACTTAATTTAAATTAACCATTAACCTTGATATGGATTTTTTAATAAATTTAGATAGAAAATATTTTTTTAGATAACTTACTATTTCAAGTATAAGTTTTAATAATGAACTTTAATAACTGTTTAAATCCACATAAAAATTCTTTAAACTTATATATGGTTCAATAACAAATTTATTGTAGCAGGTACCTATGTCGAAATGTCATGTTATAACATAAAACCGGGTCCTGTATGTAATTCCAAGCATTGTAAAGATCGGGTCGCTGTCCACTTTCACTCTCGGGGTACATCGAATAAGACAAGCACTAGTACTGACCCAGTATATTTTGACGTTAAATAATGAGGCTTTTTATTTACAATATCATGTGTAATTTGAGAGAAATGTTTTTAAATATTTAAATTATCGCAGATATACAGTTATAACAGTTATTTATTTTTAATTTATTATTATAAATTATGAATTTAATATTTTAATAGAAAACATTATTTTTTATCAATTCGTTAGGGTTCTTCTTGATGTATCAATAAAACTAAATATTAGGTATGTACTCGCATATATTCATACAATGTTAAAAAATAAAAAATTTCTTGCAAATATTGAGTATATTTCCAATACTTACATAGTTGGTAATAGTTCCGCTCACATTAAACTAGTTTCGACCACTATTATGATTGTGCTTGCGACATGCTTCTGAGAATAGTCCAGTTAGTGGTTACTTAAACATATCACCAATTTGAAATCAATTCAATACTAGTCATATGTATTTTAACTGAATATAGTCGTATAATGGAATCTATGAATAAATATTACGTACTTAACCAAGCACGTTCATTATAGATGGATTTCTTTTGGCCGTATAGCTCTTTGCATATTTGTTGTTTTTTAGCATAATAGCACCAATACACTTTACCGCCTGGTGGCTCATATCTGCTGTATCGCCTTCCTGACAATCGCGATATTATTCCACTGTATCCGCACCATGCATCGACGCAGTTCTTCTTTAAAGACAATACGTAATTTCCTGTTTTCAGCAACACATTATTGTCAGTGATCATAGACTGTTTAAGTTTAAGATTGTTATCAAATGGAATAAATGGATTAATGTCGCAATTAACTAACCCTTGCTGATCTTCTTCGCATATAAATTCATGCTGAGACAAGATGTTTGGTTCTTTAGGTCGTACTATACTACCAGTGTCGACTAATTTTGTATGAGGATTATTACCGTTTCTTCGGTGACATACACGACCTCGATCTTCAAAAACTAAACAATCGACAATATAATATATTTTATTCTTTATGTTGTTATTTAAAAACAATAGTTTGTCTACGTTTTTGAGGTGATTGTATCTGACTGTTTCACATTCGTATGACCCGGTTGATTCTAGAAAGCATACCTTTAACATAAGTTCAGGAGATGTAACTTCCGTTATAGAATGTAGTCGGAATGTTTTACAATCAGAGGATGAACAATTGTAGAATATTACATTTGTCCTCGGTATGTATGGGTCGTACGTTGGCATAGCGTTATTGTTTCTTAAATTGGCATTGCGTCGGCTCGATGATGGTATCGCTTTACATGTGGGATTTTGGCCCTGAAATATTTTAAATGGCTCGATTGATGAGAGAGATAGTGTTTTTACTTATGTTAGCTTTTTAATAAAATAATAGAAAGATAAATTTATCAACTATTAAAAAGTTCTGTATGTTTTCGTCTTAGGTAATACTTATAGTAAAAATAGTATTTACCTTTGTATGGATTAGGTACCAAATATATATATGAATAGGAGGAGGGTTTTGTCAAGTACTACCTCTGTTTTTAGCATCAAAGGTTTTGAAGAGGATATAAGTTCCCATACAATACTCAGCATGAATATTAGTGAAAATGAATCATAGTGGTTAACCCAAACGTGACATACCTTATCAATAACGCATATGACGTATTTGTTATAACGCTGTAAAAACAGTAATCCAGAATAATATAATGTAATACAATAATATTTCAGGTTTAATAGGAAAAAGCAATAAATATTACAAAGGTAGCTATTGTTATTATTAATTAATGGCAGGAAATAGGCAATTAATTATTTTATATATATGTAATATGTATATAAAATTAAATCTACATATATTTACTTTTTACTATGACAAACAAATAGAAATAATGCTCGGGATCCGATTATATTGTGTCTAGAATAAAAGATCCTAGATTATTAAGGTACTTATCGGTATCACAGAATCTGCTAATTTAATGATAGTGTCAATTACTTAAATTATCGCCTACGTATTAATCGGTATGACCCAATAGACCTTACCGCATATACATCATGCAGAACGTATTGAGTGATGACTAAACACAAAAAAGTGAAATTCATGCCCGCGATATTACATCACACGTAAAGGAATCTATGGATGGTAACGAGGAAGTGGTGCGTACCTATGCAATAAATTTTTAACGGCAATAACTACTGATCGATTCACTGAACTTTTATAGGAAAACTAATTGAAAATTTCCAATGACGACAATAAAACGTAAAATAAAAACTACATTTTAAAGTAATTTTAAACATTCCTACAAAAAGATTTTCAATTAAATAAGAAGATTAAATTTTTTGGCCAATGTTCCATGTAATATTTACGTTTATTCTAAATATATTGTCATTATCGCTTTTACGTGCTGAAATATCTATGTACCTACACTTCGTGTCGTTTTTATAAAATATAACAATATATTATATATACTTAAAAAAGTCTAGTAAAACAAAATTGATTAACGATAACGTAGTATAATCTAGTAATTATCCAAGGTTTCGGTTATAAAGTCGGATTTGTAATTTCGTAGTGGATACCCGTGTTACAAAAGTACAAATATAGTAATTATTATCTATATTCGTACTGGTTAAATAAGTTCCTACATATTAATTCTGTTGTAACTGGCTAATGAAGAAATGTTTTATATTCTAAATTTGTCTTTGAATTTATAGTTCTTTTATATTACATTCTTGTTTTTTTGATACTTCAATTCCTTTCATTCTATTTCTAATTGTCAGTAGTCTATATTAATATATTTTCTCCGTTTACCTAGTCTTGTTTCTTATTACTACAACAAATTCTATTACCTGGAATTGGATTCATAAGCAAAACAATTGGGACATTATTTGTGTTGTGTGTTGTGAGTGTTGCACTGTCTTTGTTCACCTTGACTTAAATGTCAATGACTGGGCTTGTCGCCATTACATAAATTCTCTATCAATTATGAGTTGATTATAAATTCATAATACTATATTTAAAACATTTCACTAATAGAGACTACAAGTATTGATAGATCGTCAATTAAAAAATAACAATTATTTAGAAAATAAAGTAATAATTTTTACAATAATGTACGTGTAATTAGGAGGAAGACATCCCTACAATTGTTTAGTGAAATATTGTTTATTTTTTATAAAACAAACGTGTTGTCGGTCCATTTGATATAAAGCAATAGCCATTACATTACAGTACACTCATGTATTGCTACTTATCATTTTGTACCAGGTGTCACTAATTTTACCATTAAGAACTTTGAACGGTAGAAAAAAACCGAAACCTACCGTGTATAGAAAAGCTTCTCTTAGGTATTTATAATTTGTATGAGTTATAATAATTAACGAATATGGATTGGTTCACGGGTACAGATTTAACAATATTCATTATAAGTATCCCCATAGCTGTACATTCTATACCATAGATTTTATTGTTTAATAAGATTTGTGTTTATTAAGTATATATTTTTTGTAAACTTACCAGTAAAAATAGTTCTTGTTTAAACATTTTTCATCCCACAGTTGGAGTGTTCCTGTAATTAAATAAATTGTTTATGATAGATATTAATATAATAGGATCATTGGATACAATGTAATAATGTACTAGAAATGCTACTATTTTACGATTTTAAGAGCGAATATACATTAAGAAGCATTTTAAAAAGAACTTCACTTATAATGAAGCTATTTTTATGAGGTTAATATCTCATAAAAATGGTTAAAAATAGTAATACTGTTGTTACTTGTACCTAAAGGAATAATTTCCTAACAACAGTATTACTAATACATTCTATTAATTGCTACTTGTGCTAAATAACTTTTAATCCAGTTTTGACAAGATCATGTGTAGGTGTGTAATATAGAGCTATGTGACTAAGTAACAAGTATGACGTTTGGCTTTAATGCATGACATTGAAATGAAGGCACCATTATTATTATTATTATAATTGAGTGCAAAATAATTAAGACCTCTCAATCAAGGTTAGAAAATGATTAAAGGTTATATTTTTGAAATAAATGTGCGAGTAAAATATATGTTAAAACGAAAACATAGTGTCTAAGTACGTGTCTCCATACCCTATACCGTAATGGTCATACCAATAACGATATAACAGTTCGGCCTATCTGAAACAATCTGAATTTAAATTTAATTAAATCTGAATTTAATAAGGGTTGAGCCTACTTAATTAACAATCTGTTACGTGTAACAGAAATCTGTTTTGTTATATCATATAGTCTCCATTGGCTTATACTATAATCTAAATCAAAATTACTTTGCAATTAATTTGCAACATTTACAGGTGCTGAATGCTTTAGATATGGAGCAAATTTTAATGCAAGTTCATATGTCTTCACTTGCATTTACTTTAATGCGTAACAAAGAAGTAAGTAAGAAAATATAAAAATTTCAGATCTGTAAAATGTGTATATACACACTTGATATAAAATGAATTATTTGTTGCAAATGCAATGTATTATGACGTAGTTTACTATAGAAAGTGTTTGATACAATAGCACATTGTGCGATAGTGAAAATGACCGCGTCCCTTGAATATTAATTGGATATTTACAACGATTGTAATATGACTACACACCTGTACAAAACGATTCATATCACTTGACAGCTGTCAATACCCCAATAAGTTGCGGTTACATAATTATCATGTTTAGAATATTATTCAATTATTCCTGTTACTTAATATGGTTAAGTTGAAAGCGATCGTAATATAAGGTACCTCCCTATTACACTAGAATATATTACTGTTATAAATACGTTTCAAAACGGTAATATTATATAAACGTAAATTTCGTAAATTCATAAATATTATATAATTTAGAACATTTTTAGAACCATAAAGGCTATTGGTCTCTATTTAAACCTGAAATAAAGTACCATTAACTTTGACACAGAGTGTGCAGTGTTTTCCTTTCCGAGTTTCGGTACACAGGCCGGTACAACGCGGCAGTTTCTATTCGATCTGTAATCAGTTACTATTTAACTGTCTTGGTGTACATTTAATATAAGGTAAGTACTTGTTTTTCTCACGTACTCATTGCAATAGCGGAGCGACCTCACAGGCAACTGTCCTTTACCGTTGAATGGCTACTAGGAACATGAAAATTGGCCTTAAATTTGCTTGTTTTTTCAGTGGTGGTAAATGTCTGACTATATAAAAAATATGTTTTTTTAATTAGTAATCCGATACAACTTCACATTATTAAATGATTTGATATTACTATATCTATCTACTAATCGAAATCGATTTGAATCCATAATGATCAAATTATGGGCCACGTTCCATGAAATCAGTTCAGTTAAGTTCATGCACTGTTTGTACTAATATTGAATTTTATTGCTTATGGGAATAAACTTAGTAATTCGTCTTGGTCGAGTCATTATTTCTAGGTATTAAGTGTTAGTCACAAACAATTTTCTTACAGAAATATTAAATATTCTGTTATGGTTGTGTCTGTGCATTGTGTATAGGATACAATTTATTAATATAATGAAGTGAGATAATTAAATAATGACATTGGGTCTCGGCCTCAATTGTAAGGGATTTGTCGATGATATCAATGAATAAGCAGGTATGGTAAATACTTTATATTTTAGGCATGAATTGAAATTTAGAAGATTCAACAAGAAGATACTTCTGCGCATACACACCACAATATGCAAAGATTTAGACTATATTTCGGATCATAATATGCGATGATGCGATTTTAATATTAGGTCTTTGCCCAGCAATGACATTAAAAGGCTGTTATCAACTTTATTTATTATTTTACATCATATGTGTCTAGATTTAATGTAGATACTTTTATATAAATTCAAACTGTATTTTACTTATTAAAATCAATCAACGTAAATTTAATAATAAAAAAACAACGATACTGGTAGATGTTTGAAAATGCGGATAAGTAACTTAATCGAGTTGTGGTTTTATGGCAGCCACAGCTGTATCTATAATAATGTGGTTGCAATTTAGCGGCTTCTGTTTTAAAAAAGTACTTTCTGAAATGGGCAGAGACTATATATAGAAGAAAAGTAATTATTGTCATGTTGGTTAACAGTTATTACTATTTTTATTAGCGAAAACTTACAGTACATAATAGTCACGAACTTACTAATTCAGGCATATGAGTAGTAAGTTCAAAAGTTTCAAATGTTATACAACATTCGACGTATTAATTCACTTTCTACTAAGAATAAAAGACATTTTTAACTTTATTATATATAAGATCAAAAAAACTTTATTAATCATGAGTATGTAAGGGACATGTAGGTATACACTAATATTTATAAATTACATTTTTTAATAACATACAAATATACGTACGTGTAAGATATTAATACCAATGTCTATATATAGTTTTTTAGGATGACGTGATATAAAATCTTGATATTTAGCATGCAAAATATAATAGTGTTGCATTTAATCAATATTCAGTAATGTTTTATATTTATGATTGATTAAAATCAATTAATAATTAAATAAAAAGGGAGATCTTTGATGATTTGCATATTTTTGTATTTGTTTCTATTATTATATAATGCTGAAGCAGTATCTAAAAGTAATAGTACTTTATTTTCATATCATATACATACAAATAGAAAGAAACAAAATTAAAACACTGAAATAGTCACAGAACTCATAATACATATATTGTTTTGCTATATACTTTTTATTATAAAAATATTATGAATTATAATATAATTTAGCATTTATTCAACAAAATATGAAATATTTTGACCACAACTATAGACACTTGCATTTTTATATTAATGGAGAAATACACATGCCAAAACATATTTTGGACTTATGTTATTTAATCAGAGAACTCATTTGATATTTTTTGAAATGAAATCAGTAAAAATGGGTAAATTACACAAATGGAAAACAAATAAATAAAAAAAACATAATAGTAAGTTTGTTTGTTTAATTACATACTAATATTTATCGATATCTCATTCCTGTGATAGATTGCAGATTTCCAAATACATTTGTTTATTTTTTTATTTAGTTTAGAAAACATCCAGAGCGATATATAGATAAACGATATTTATTTATTCTTTTCTAGTAGCCGTCTTATATAAAAATGTACTCGTAACATATTAACGAGTTCAAAAACATGCAGTAGGTGTATCGTGAAGTGTATGTTTTATAATTGATTGATAATATTATAGTAACGTAATAGCTACGGATAATTGGTACAATCTATAATAGATGACTCGGAACATTTCCTTTGAAGCATATTGCAATGTTTACAATATGCTATATGAAAAATAACATAATTTTTATTCAAATAATTTAATAATAATTTTAATTAAAAGGGTAAATGCATATAAGCGATTAAGGCTAGATACACATGTATAAACGTTTAACAAAGTAGAGAAACTCCATTAATTTGAACATTTTTATTAAAATAGTAATAGATATATTTGTTCTTGTTTTAAAACTCTATTTTTTATACTAATCGTCTGTAATAGTCTGATGGTAAACGGTTATGGTATCCAATGTTATTCAGTGGATTCAAGTATCGTACTCCTCTCTAGCCTAATATTTTGGGCAACTCACTAAAAAATAATAAATCAACGTTCGTACACATGTTGTGCATTGAAGACATTTAAAATTTATATATCTAACTTTACACAAGGCTTTGTTATTATATTATAATATGTAGGTATACAGTTTGATTAAGAGACATTTTAGATCTATGTAACATTAAATACATAATTATTTTAAACTCATACATATAAAGTTAATGCTTTAAAGTAATGTGTGTTTGTAGCAAGAAATAGCCATTAAAATTACATTATTCGCTACTTTTGTGTGTGTATGGATAAAGGAAGGTGAAATTATTATTAATTTTAAGTTTGAAGGAAATGATGTCAATACGGTCACCACATTATTGTTGTAGATTCTATCTTTTGTACATAAAATTGGCAAATAAATATAATTCTTAAAAGTGAGAAAACTCACTTCATTAACAAAGCGATGCCGGATGAAGCAATATTTGATAATAATATAAATATTATGAATAAACTATTTAATGCAGATTGAGAAATCGCAAATGTCTGCCCGGTCACATAGATTGAGGAACCAAAAGCTTATGGGTACAAGGATCATGAATCTAGTGATTTCCTAATTAGTGAGTGATAGAGTAACAAAACCATTCTGTAGGGCAATACGTATGGCGGTATTACAAGGGATATGTGATATATAAAAGTGAGAGATGTACGACTAAGGAACGGAAAGATTTTGTTTTACTTAATTTTGCTATTTGTAGATCTAGTTTATCTCTTGGAATATTCTTTGTTATGTATATTATGGATTATGTATAATAATATATATTATGGGAAATTTAGAAGTTTAATGAGAACGTTGATTGGTACTAAGTGATATTTGATTTGTCCATCTCTTACATACATTTTGGTTGGACATTAGACATATCAAAAGGGACAGGGTATATCACGGATTAATTGTTGTTGCATCGACCACTGATACTCTACTGATTTTTTTCTAATCGAATTAGGACTCTGTTAAACATGGAAGACGATAAAGTAACCTACATGTTATAAAAATTCAAAATTAGCACAATTATAAATACAATTGGTTACATAAAGAAGTATCAAACCCCAAAAATAATATTGATTTTGAATTTAGAACCCGCTCCATTCCTGCTCCATTAAGTCGATTATTAAAAAAATAAAATTTTGCGAACAATGAAATGATTTCTTTATTACTGGTACGATATTGTGTAAAACGTAAGATCTCACTGAAATATTACCAAATTCAACCTAACTATACAATTACTTAACCCGTTTATTAAGGAAATTACTACGACATGAACTATTCCCTAGTTTGACAAATAATTGTAATTAAGTTTCTATCAAAAATATGTTATTTGTTATTTTTTGACTACAATATAATGATGCCAAGAATGATGATATATATATCTCACAATATTCACATAATATTAGTTAAGTAGGTATTAGTTAATATCTATTCATTGACATAGAGGAGGTTTCGTGTACATTCAATTTAATGGAAATTGGGGATTAGTAATAATGGCAAGTGCTTTCAACAGAACAGTGTGTATTAGATTAATTTATTATGTTGTTAAATGTATACCAATAAAAAATCTGTTAGTAGAAGTTAGATAATGTATTTAGCATTTTGTTAATTGTTGCAATGGTATCGTTTATAATTTACCTTAATCGATCGCAATAAAATAATTTCGCTGTTCTTTTATCAGATTAATTTACTTCCTATGTCACGACTTAGGTTTTGTGCACTTCATGTATTTTATCCAATAATAAATATGATTTATTCTATTTTTGTTTCTAGATATAAGAGTTGTTTAAAGTTTTCCAAAAGTTGAACTAACACTTCTTTTCTGAACTAACAAAGCATATTCACACTGTGTTAAAGAGAATCGTGACAAAAGGAAATGAGGTGTGTCCCCATTACTTCCATTGGAACTATTTGTAAAACAAAAGGACCAGGAGACAAAACGTCGCGTTCGCGATCGTATCGGGTTTGAGTTTTGTACAGACGCGTGTTGCGCACGCGCCGGTTCTGTTCTAACTGGTAGGGGTTTCCCGCCAAAACCACGCGGAGTTACTATCTAGAGATAAATGCAGAGATTCATTCATGAATATTATGCAATTTTCACTTTATTGTAAGTATTGTATTATTGCATTCTATAGTCACGAATTCGTTGTTACACTTGCCTTCTGCGAGGTTTCCTTTGCGAAAGTCCTACTGATCGGTACCTATAGAAAATGGTCAATACAAAAGTAGTATTGTTCATAGTACCATCGTTTTTGCTATTGTCCACTACTGAATATAGGGCTTCCCCATTTAAGTGTATCAACAATATTTATTGGAGAAAAGGAACAGTTACCTATTTGTGTCTAGGATTTTACGTTGCTGAGCAATTTTTTATGTAACTGGATTAGCTAATGAGCTAATGATCTACCTGATAGTAAGTGATATCACCCACAGCTACAGTCAAACTAATATATTTACTAATACTGTAAAATCTCACCGTACATGTAAGAGTTGCTGAATAATCAAACAAGTTATACTGAACATAGATCTCTTGTTTTTGATACGAAATAGTATCGGTATCAAATTTGGAATTTCGGAATATCATAACGTGACCTAGATACCACTGTGTCTATATCTAATGAATTTGCCGTCGGTAGCGCAGTCGTGTTCACTAATGTTAATCACCGTCTATTGGGCACGGGAGATTGCTAGTTATATGGAATAATAAACACTATCACACTATGGAAAACACTGTCCTTAATTGCCCTTAACAATGCCCTGACTATTCTAACGTCATTCTTACCTTATAATCCTCGTGGATACACCCAAAGTGGTGTCCTATGCATTGTTCCTGCATTATTCCTATACCCTCCATAAAAAATCATCAACCCTAAAACCCATTTTTCATTTACCATTAAGAAAGTTTATTAATATCTTATTTCTTGTTTATTGTTGTTAGTAATGGCTTAGAGCTATTACAAAATGTTAAATTTAGTTTAAATTTGAGAAATTCCTTTATAATGTATCTAAACAAAATTGTAAATCAATAAAGAGGTCGCTACGTTAAAATTCATAAGTAAGTGGAATATTCATACATCTTATTATAATGTACGTGTAATGAATATTGCCTAATTATTACCACCCGGTGGTTTAGTGAATACAGTAATTAAGCAGGTATAATTATTATTTATTATGCTACTTATAAATGAATTTTATTTTCAGTTTGTGTGGTTGTAACAATAATTACAACATTAGCTCTATAGGTAGTACTTATATTACGTGTATGTTAAATTAGGTGTATTACAAAGTTCTATATTTAGTTATAACACAATAGTTACAATAAACATTACACGTGGGCGCCAGCAGTGGGTTGGTAGTTGGTGGACTTGCAGATATTATAGTGAGTTGCTCTTACGAATCCTATGATAAATATGAAATCACTCAACTTAATACTTAATAATAATATTTGTTACCTATATTGTCTATAATAATACTAATAATTATAATAATCATCTTTATTTGTCCCAAACAAAACCTAATACAATTTTTGCCAATAGAATAATAAAAATGGAGACAAAACGGTCTATAACTCAGTGGGGGCAGTGAGTCTACCCTCTCTGCTATTCTGTAAATTAATACAATAACAGATCGACGACGACGATAGCACATTATGTTAAGTTCTAAACTATGTAATATTATGTTATCTGTGCTACTACTAACAAACATAAAAATTGACAATAACGTAACAAGATTGCAAACTAATAAAATTGGACAATAACAAACTTACAATATATATATATACGTTATTACTAAGGTAGGTACGTCATACGTACATACAACTTCGGAAATTAATAATTTTCTAATATGTTTCTGCACCTTCGATGTTGCACTTTCATGACTTACTCCAAATGTTAATTTGTAAAGTGCTATTATTAAGACATATCGAACATAAACGCCTGAAATTTTGCTCTCAGAATTACAACTTTAACAACAGTTCAATATAATACTATATTTTAGATATACTATCTATATCAGGCGTTTGGTTTAGTTGTGAATTATTACGTTACCTAGTTGTTACTTTGTTGAGGCCTCATTGAGGATGATAAGATGAATCTGAAATCAGGCCAGTTATCCTAACTAAGCGAAATTAACGATGACAGTTTCCAGGGCAGACTGTGTGAAGACGGACTTGGTGCATTACTAGCAGCAAAACCTCTACCTAACCTTATTAGTGTGGTCAACATCCAGCATATAAAATGAGGTGTTGATTACTGTTATAACGCTGCTATATTGTACAAGTATATATATATATATTATAGCTTACATAGGATAAAATATACCATAAATGTTATTATTATCATATCAAGACCTGTGTTCGTGTATTGCTTGTTGATGATCCGCAGGCTTTTGTAAGCAGTAAATTCTGTACCAAAACCAAAGAGACAGCGCCATCTATGGTAATGCCGTAGTAGTGCTTCTGCCAACTTCGTGCTTTAGTGTAAAACTTACAAATCGAATATTTTGTGCTTGCATTTTACAACCATGATTGGATATCTGTGTTTGCAGAGAATAATATAAGAGCGTTAAGGAAGATGGCGTTAAGTTTATAATTAGCTTTAAGACTTTTTTGTGAGTCTTCAAAACAAAAAAGTATAACGTATACCATATATACCATTATATTTATAGAGTAATTAAAATTTTTGTTCAACATTATGAACAAATACATTTTATTACTTGCCTAATAACGGCGTAATGTAGATAATTATATTCTACTCTGCTGTAATTATTAGTATTAGTAATATGTAATTGGGGTAATAAATAAGCCACGCCACCTAATAGTAAGTTGTAACAGTCGCTAATATACATGAACAACTATACAGACAATACGTTATCAGCTGATGCCCGTAATACCGGTCCTATGTTGCCATTCCGGAGGATATAATGTCATGTCTCTTATATTTTTAGTATATTAAGATACATACAACACACATACCCTTAAATATCTACGTCAATACTACTGACAAATTTAATTTATAGTATATGTTACAAGAGAGACAATATAGCACAGGTGTAATACCTAATTTAAGTTATTAGGATCCTCACATTGGATTATTCACCATTATGCCATTTATGGTTACTTAATATTAAGTAGATTATTATATATTGCACCTTTTACTTTAAATATTATATTATATACAAAAAAAATATTAACAGGTACAAATAAAGTTTTAATATTATTAACATATTTTCACAGTCTCACCCAACCGAAATTTGATTTACATAGCAAGAGCGGCTGGAATTGATATGGCGGAGTGATCTTTTTATAAAACCTGCCTTGGTAGTAGTATAATAAGTAATGTCAATGAGAGTAATTCTGCACTTAACACATTATACGTGGGTTAAAGGCGGGACGTCACTAAGTGACGCCATGCATATACACGAGTTTTGTTTTTAATATTTAATAGATAGAGGCAATAATATAATAGATTCCTGAGTATGTTTGAGTAGTAACTTGTGTACCACTATATAGTTGATTATGACAAAATATACTGGATATATAAAAACAAGGAAGACATAAAGAACACAAAATTCATCATGATCATTTGCTTGCCTTTATCCCATTATTTGGGTTCGGCGCAGTATGTCATTCTTTTCCACTGATGTCTATGACAGCCGATAGAGATCAGTAGACGAGAATGACATACTGCGACATATCTGAGCATACTTTCCTTTTATTCATATCATCTATCACACAATCTATCCATCTTTTTTAGGGTTTCCTTTCCATCCATCTACATTCCACTTTTAAGACAACAAAATTGTAGTAATAATATATCGGCATATAACCTATAAAAGCGTAGGTACGTACACCAACAAATACTTGTAATAATTGTTGAACGCGAAGGTATTTTATTATAATTTCTTTTACAACATTTCAATAGTAAAAACCTGGGTGGAATTGAGTAATACTACAGAAGTTTCACAAGTTCTGATTATATTTGCATTATAAATTATCAAATATTTAATGGCAGCTTATTAGGCAGTGTTTATGTACTTATCTAATTGAGTAAAGCTATAAATTGAACTCTTACAATGTTTAGCCACTATGTCTAAAATACTAGGCACTTAAAGTAATTTACAAATATTTCAACTATACATGTTTAATTAGGCACTATCGAGACGTTGAATCAATTGGGTAATAAAGCCATTTAAATTCATAACCTTTCAGGCCATATTTCTCATCTTTTTCCGTTTCAGGTTTTGGTACCTCTTCGGATATCAAATCTAGTACTTCTTGTGAAATTTTTGGACGGAAGCCATTTTCATCTGCAACGTAATCTATTCGGGTTCTCACTCCATTCCTTCCCGTAACATAATAATACCCTTGTTTAGCACCATTTGTGTATCCTTCTTCAAAATGGCCATGGAAACCGACAGTATAATTAAAAGTGTATAACAGAAGCTTCATATCATTTTTAGTCAAACCGTTTGGTAGTCCTTCTTTTTCATTAGGCCCTCTATGGTGGATATCGGTGTCACCAGGTACTACTTGCATATTAACGGATAAAAGGGTAGGTTTATTGGGCCCTAATGGTGATTCTATATTTTGCTGATTAATATTGTATTGTTTAGGATTACGGTCTCCCGAAGGTCCATTTGTATATTGTCCTGAAACTGTCCATTTTGTTGCGATTGTCCGGGATAATTGGGTGATCCAATTATATCATTTGTTTGTGGATAATTTGGATTTCCTGTTTGCTGATTTCCATTACCTTGTGGATATTGATTGTAACCTGGGTCCCCAGATAGTTGATTTCCATTACCTTGTGGATATTGATTGTAACCGGGGCCCTCTGATTGTTGATTTCCTTTAAGTTGATATGGATTACCTGAAACTTGTCCTAAATTTGGATTCACTGGTGCTAAATTAGTCAGCGGGGGTCTTATAGTAGTGGTAGTTGGAATACTGCAATGTGAGCATGATTTCACTGGAGCAGGTGCAACTGGGCTTGGTATATTTGGAG